CGGCTTATTTTAAAAATTTTATGACCAATTACAATTATTCACAAAAATAAATAATTATAATTATAAATGTCGATAAACTTATGAAACTCTCATATCTAACTTTTAATAATAAGTATGGGTATCCTAACATTTTTAGTTTTCGTGTAATGCTTCATTATAGCCAAAAATCGCGCATTTTTCGAAATATTCATATTTTTCAAAAGCTCAGAGTCACGGAGCAATTTTGTTTACGGATTCGTATTTAAGAAAAAATAAAAGTTTGTTGCATAGTGTTATTTTTAATCTTGGCAAAAGAAATAAAATACATATATGTAAAATAAAAAATTATTTCTTATCTGAAAAAGTTGAAATTTGTCGTTTTTAATGCATAACATCTCGAAGAATAACCATTTGATGATATGGAACGTTTGGAAGTACGTTAGAAGAAACTCTGTTGAATCGTTTATGTTCAATTAAAACCATTTTTCATGTTGTTAAAAAACAACATATGATATTTCTAATCTACGAGAATTACACGAGGAAGCTCACATACATGTGATCGCGTTAAAATCATTAGAATAACTAACACGATAATTGAATACGTCCTTGGTTTAAGTTTTGAATTAAAAGCTGAATAAAAACTCGCATTTGACATGTAAATGTACACTTCAAAATTAAGATCTGTCACATTTCGAGGATCATAATTCGATGAAGTCAGCAAATATTCATTAATGTGTAAGTGTACAGTGATGATTTCAAGGAAAGAAAATTGTGCTGTTTAATTCACCTAATTATACTTGAGTAATAATGCAAAAATGCAGCATCCGTATTGCAATGAATTAATTATATAAATATGTTATATGTAAAGATACATAATCTTTAAACTTTACTATCATTTCTATAAATCTTTACAGTTCGTATATGATTGACACTAAATCTACCAACAATTTATATATACCTATTTCTATGATATACCTATTTGAATCTGTTAAATGACAGGGCCATAAATAAAAGCTATATTTTTTGCGATTGGTTGCAGTATAGTTAGTTTAGTGCGAGCAATATTAGATAAACAAAATAATTTTTGGATAATAATAAAAAAAATTGAGTAGAATTTCAAACAAGAACAGAAAATAAAAAATAAATGCCGTATAGTAGTATAATAGTACTATAATAGTAATTGGAAAATAATAGTAGATATCTTATTCTTGTCTATCATATTTTATACAGGTTATAAGTTTCGCCATTGCGATTTTTCTATAAAGTTATATCTTCTTGTATGTTATAAAAGTATATAAATTTTTCAACTGGTCAAATGATGCAGCAAATTACATGTAAATTTCGGAAGAAGCGGATCAAGAAGAAAAGTATCGAAAAATGAATAACATATATATTAGAAGAGAAATCGAGTAACAAAAGTAATAATGTTGAATGCAGAATTTTTAATCAAACGTATAAAAACGGTCATTAGAATGAACATTATGTTAACACAATATTAAATGCCATAAAAAAAACAAAATTACGTTATATTTGTTAGTAATTATATTTTAGAAATTTGTAATAATTCAAATGGTCATCGTATAATAGTAACACATCTAAAATGTGAAATACTTTTGATAAAAGCGGTATACAGAGTATCTGCATAAGAAGTGATACCAAATGATAAGTGACTAAATTTGCGACAAGAAAGCCATCGTCATTACCAACGAAAACAATTCTGTTGCCTCATTTTGAAGATGTGAAAATTTGAAGAAGTTTTTCGCAACCTATGCAGGCAGGAATAGTATCGGACGTGTATATTATATATATACGCAAAAAAGTTATTATTATATATATGTAATAACAACTTTTATATTTACAATAACCGATAATCTTTTAATTAAATTTTAATTAAAGAAGATTGTAATTGTGCTCTTTTTCTATTAAATTACATATATATTGAGTTAGCGGGAAAGTTTTTGATCATATTGTAATAATCAATAATCAAATGATAAATTAATTTTGTAAAGATGGTATTTCTATGTTGAAAATGGATTTGGCTCTTGTTACAAATTACAAATTATACAATATAAAATTTACAATAATGTAAATACGACTACTTTTCCAAAAATTCGTCATATATTTAGGAGAAAATTATTAATAGGTTTTTCTAAATTTTGATTGTTACTGTAATAGTTAAATAATAGCACGGATGTATATACGTTATATTAACTGACTGCGGAGTAATCTAAAATTTATCTCAATTTAGAAAGATTCTAATGCTCATGTTTCATCAAGGTAAAATGTATTACCGTATAGAGATGAGAAGATAGCTTGTGTGACAGCACAGGGGTAAAAGTATTCGATTTACTTCATTTAATTCCACCTTTGATACTTCCGAAATTCAACTTTTAGGTTTCTGATGGTATACGATGACATGCTATATACGTTGAATTATTCCACTATACATAGTAATGAGATAAGTTGCGCGGCATGCTTTTTGTTTTATCTCAATTGAACAATATTAGATATACGATTAATATTAGTTCTATGTTAACACAAATGCTTTGTCTCATTTTTATCAGTTTATCTTACTTAGTTTTTATATACCACGTTTGCTTATTTTATCATTTGATCTTATATCATTCCAAATGAAAATACGTCAATTTTGTCCAACAATGAAGATACTCAGTCTTTATAATTGTATTAAACAAGGTGGTTTTATTACACTATAACTAACCAAACTTCGAATTTCTTCTCGTCATCTTCTCATCTATACATAATACATATTATATATGCAGTATATTTTAACATTTTAATTGGGTATTCTCGTTTCATTTACCGTATTTTCTAGGTATATTACCATCGGACTACTGCCTATGTAATTATAATATTAAGTGAGCAAAAAAAGTACGTCGTTCAAAGTCAAATAACATACAATGCATTTTTTTAAATTAAAATTGGCACTTCTCTATAAAATGGGTATTAAAAAATTTGTAAAATAAAAAAATACTATTTCAGAAAATAATGAATATTATATAATTGGTTAAATAGAACAATAACGTAATATAAAATTAATTTTCTTTTAAAAGTTCTAAAAAATATATTTGCAAGGGTATGAATATAAAAGTAATCGACACGAGAGAAACGTTCTCGCTGTTGTTAAGTTTAGGTTAAGATACGTTCGAGGGTTAATTGTCCTCGAAGTATCGATCACCTCCTATTTAGTCTAGGCCAAAATGCATTTGAGAAAAACGTTCCTTGAACGAGCGTGACAGGAGCAGTCCTTGGGTTGACGACCTTTTATTTAGATAGGCTTAGGTTAAAAAATTGTTCGATCTCATCGATAAAGTAATACACACACACACACACGCATACATATATACTTGTTAAATGTGTCCAAAATTTGTTGAATCCCAATCTCTCATTATTGCCAGTTCTCTATTATTTGACACAACATATACTACCACTTATCGCGATACTCTCTCACAAAGTGATACTACTTTCTTACAGATCTAATAATTTTCATGTATAATAAATTTCAATGTAACGATTTGTACATTTACTATTATTCTAGTAATACAATTGGAAATATTTTAATGCATTTATGGGAAAAAAAGACAGAAAATTTTCTAGTTCAATTTAAATTGGTTATACGTGGATCAAAAATTATTTATACGCTCAGTTCTTTCTAACTAATTTCAAGTAACGAAAGAGCATCTTATTATAATCTATAATCACAATTACAATAGTGAAAGAATATAAATTTATTACAAAAAACGTAAGTGCGCAAATATTTTCTTGTTTCTTTACTATCAAACAAGCTATTGGTTTTGTATATGTATAATGATGCATTAATATATAAAGATTATAGTAATGTACTACTTCTTTATTTAAAGTTGTTTAAAAAAAAATACCTTCTCGACTCACTGTAAATAAATCTTTCGCTTAAAAATAATTTTCTTTCTTATTTAATTCAATTAATTATTGTTATTAATTAATGATTAGAAATACATTTTATTTAGAAATTTTTTAAATAAAATTTTATTAATCAAAGTTAAAAAAAATGTTATAATTCCTTAAGTTTTTTTTTTTTTTTTTACATTATAATTGTTTCCTGCATTATATAAGAAATAATATCACATTCACAGCGTGTCTCGCCATAGGACCATGGTTAGTGGGGATGAAGATTCCATATCCACCAATTGCTTTAAGCCTGGGCATGTAAAAAAAATGCCACTAAGGATAATGAGCTGTAGATATTCAATCATATCTGTCTAAATATAAAAAATATACCAATCTGAAGAAACGAACCGCAACGGAAGAAAGTGGATATTTTTATCACCAAATTATAAAAGATAACAAAACTATAAGATAAGACTAAAAAATTCATTTGTGAATGTAAAATTGTGTTTGAAAAGAAATAACGCGGAAAGTATTAATTTATAATATATTATATAATTAAGCGTATAGGATAATTAATGGTCTTTTAGTTGAACAAGATTGTAATTGCAGGGTTAATTTTTCGACTAAAATATGATTTTCATTTAAATTACAATGTAAAAGAAAGGAATTTATACATTTACTATTATTTTGATAAAATAGTTTGGAATATTTAAAGATTTTTGCTAAAGAAGTAAATTTTCCAGTTTATTTAATTATTTTATTTATTATGTATTGAATATCGAAGAATATCTTTAAATATTTTAGTTTACTTTATAATACAAAGAAAAGTTTCAATTTAAATTGTTGACCAAAAGCTGTTAATTGATGTGACAATCTGATTATGAATGATCATAAATGATAATATCATGTATATTATAATTCTACTATAATTTGTAATTTTTGTTATAAATGTTCATAAATGGAACACTAATAATAATTGTTATTTTTATTTCATAAATAAAGTAACATTAATTTCAAAAATGTTTGAGTATATTAGTTAAAATATGACCAAAAATAATTATTGTTTGTCAGGTGCAAGTTGCATATGTACATGACATTAAAATTGCTAATAATTCTGATTAAAGCATGTTCTTATTGGAATGTCAATTATGTTTAATTTATAACCTGACCTGTATCACTTTTGTTTTCCTTTTTTACTGTTCTGAAAATTATTAAACCACACACTGAGTATATGAAATAATACTATTTGCATTTACAATAAATTGTTACCTTATTTACAAGCTGAAATTTTAATTGTTGTATTTCTTCTGTTTGTGAAATAAGTTTTTCATTCATGTTAGCAAGATGTTCACTCATAGTACTGAGTTGTGCTTTGTAATTTCCTTCTTGTATTTCTTTATCTTTCTGTAAAATACTACAATTTGAAAGTGCTTCTGCAAGTGCAGATTCGCATTTTTCTCTCTTTGATTCACTTGTGTCTAAATGAACTTGTAGAACTTCACTCTAAAAAAGTATTTCTTCACTATACATATTAAGAAAATGAAACAGTAAATAGTAAATTTTAATTGCGTAAATATACTTAATTACATTGGCAGCCATAGCTAAATTTTTCACATGATAAATATGTTTCTCTGTCATTAATTTATCAATCTCTTGTAGAAAATAATCTCTAATTTTTGCTTCTCGAGCTTCAATTTCTCCTGGTAGCGCAAAAGGTACCATTAATTTTCCAATCTGTTACAAATATTTATTAATTAGATTAAACTCTATGGAAATTTTTATTGATTATTTGAAATAAATATTACCATATGCGTTATCTCTGCAGGTTGTAAAGGTTCATGTTCAATCTGCATATTATTAAAACATTCTCTTTGTTCTATTTCATCATATTTTATTTTAAGTATATGATATTGCGCTCTCCAGTGATTAACTTCTTTTTCTAAATCACGTGATTTTGAAAAGTCAAAATCATTATTTTCTTCTTGTACTTTTTGAGGTCGTCCTTCACCAATAGATTTTGATGATCTACGTGATGCAGAAGGCGATGAAAATGGAGATGGTTCTACTTGTGGAAGGTTGGAATGTCCTATCCTATTGTCAGATTCATATCCATCTCGTTTACCCTCATTACTAGACCATGACACACTTTCTTCTTGTTTCTGTTTGTCACTTAACTTTTTCTGTAAATCATTTCTTTCTCTTTCTAATTTATCTATAATATTTTGATACTGACACTCTAATTCAATTTTAGTTTTTTCACAATAATCCAATTTAGATTCTAATTGTTGTATTCTTTCATTTAAAGTTTCAATTTCACTATCTTTATCACTAATTTGTGATAATAATTGAGCATTTTCAAGTATTTTTTTTTGAAATTCTTCATCTAAAATATGATTTGCTGATGTTAATACTTGGCTATTATTGTCCGATAATTTATTTTTTCCTTTCTTGGATTTATTTTGTGTTTTATCAAGTTCTTCTTGTAGTACAGTTACACGTTTAGTTAATTGTTGATTTCGAAATGATAAGCTATCTAATTCTTGTTCTGCTCTGCGAAGCTCTACTTCTTTCTCTTTCAATTGTTCTCGAATATCTGCATTACGTGCTTGTTCATCAATCACAGCTCTCTTTAAAACATTTGCTTGAGCACGAATCTAAGGAATAGATACTTTGATAATAATTTTACTATAGATATTTATGAATATTAAATTATAAAAAATAAAAATTAATTTTATGACTACATAATAGTAAACAATATTGGAAGTAAAATAGAAATATTCTATTTTATCAATTTAAGAAAATACATTTAGATTATGTATATGGTATATTAAAAATTTCTTACTTTTGAGTATTCTGTAGCAATCTTTTGATACTTTATTTGCAGTTGTCCATTGACACCCTCCATAACGTTTTCCATTCTTTCTATTTTTAATGTATTATTACAACTTCCTATAATAATCATTAAAAATTCCTCATTGTTATAATACTTGCTGTACCATGGTATTTTCTAACGAGAAATGTATACATATTAACACTTCTGATATAGACGTCAATGTCAATTAGAAATTTTTGAAAACTTCTAATGGATTATATTTATAGGCAGTAAAGTTAGCTGTTCACGCACTACATTCGCAAAGAAATTTCATAAGTGGAAAGTATATGAACTAGACGCCCCCAAATAATATATACTTTTATATGAAATTCTATATTCACTGCTCAATGACCGTCAATTGTCAAGATATTTTACTGTGAAGAGAAGTTAGTTGTTAATCGAAATTTAGATGTAGGTTTTTGTCCATTATTATTTTATCAACTGTTAGTAAAGATTTATAAATTGTATTTGCCACTGTAGTGACATTTTCTATATTATTGACATATGATAATAAGTGCAGGACAGAGTTATCATATAATCTAGTTTTTTAACCATATATATCAATAAAATTATTAAGTATTAGTTACTTATTTATTTTTATTTTTTTCTCTTTATCACTCACTATTTTCATTTGAAAATTAGTAGTAAATTTGAATCAGACAAGAGATAGTTTGATAATTTATTTATTTGAAGAATTTCATAATCAAAATTTATATATAATTTTTCAATCTTCAAAAAGAAACATAAGTTTCAATGGTAAATTAAATGTACATAATAGTCGCTTCGATCTTTCACCGACAGATGATGCTAGTCTTTAATAAGACGTCCCTGTTTCAGACAAGTGTCTGTTACAGGATTCATACTAATTTTTCCTCAAATTCGTTAAATATTCGACATATTGAAATGCAAATAGTATTCTAATTAGTTTAAAATATGATAACGTAAGTAAAATTTTTAATTTTTTATTTGAGTTAAGTCGATACGTTATCGATACAAACAACTCTTTAGTTGTTAGTTGTAAATAATAATCGATATATAATATAGTAAATGAACTGTAGTTTTTAAGGATAGACAAAAATGTTTAATTCAAAACAGAATCTAAATAAGAGTACATTTCTTGTTAGCATTTTGTCCGAAATTATTTTATATTCATATATTTGAATAATTGTGATATAATTTGCAAACTATATAAATAGCGATCAAATGTTCAATAATTTAAATAAAAGTACTAGTGACATCGGAGTGAAATTCGAAGCAAACTCATTATTAACAGAACGTAATGGACTGGAACGACGATTGATGGAAGTTGAGGAAAAATTGACGCGGAAGACGAATAAGTGAAATATAAGAGAAATAAGTAATCGACCATTGACCATACGACTACAACGAACCACTTTAATGGAAATAGTACAAATGCAAGGAAGATAGCCACGGTTCTATAAATGTAAAATGAAATATTTAAGTATTCTGAGAAAAAATTTAAAATGTTTTGCATAAAAATTAGGGATACTTCTTGTATATTATTTCCAACAGTATAATGATTTAAAGTACAAGTTTGATACCCCTAAATCATTGATATTTTGTGGTTTAAACTAGTATTCCAGTTTATTAACTACTTTGACGACTGTTGATATATCGTATGTATTATACCAATTTCGCAACTGTTTATATATTTATATATTTATTTGTTTATCTATTTAGTATTTATATCTTATTATTGATGTATATAACGCGAAAGTTATTCTTGAAATCTGTAGACTGTCATAATGTTAATATGACAGTAGCTCATTAAATAATGTAACTCAAGATAACAACATGTGTAAAAGATAACTAGACAGCAGGATCTATTATTCAATAGAAATTTTATTTTTGGCAAAACTTTTACAATTTTGATGCAAAATTATATATATTTAATAAATCCTTTTAATTGTGATTTATAATGATTTAATATATGTATTTTAATTTAATATATATCAGTATTATATATATTTTAATAAATATTTTCATTTATTTGTCAAATATTTGTACAAAGGATGTAGATAATTAGGTTATTTACTTTAATATCATTGTTTCTAAAATGTAAGGCAACTTTTCAAATTATCAATTCGTTATGGACTAAAATATTTTTTTCGGCAGGCATGGGTTCGGATTGGTACGGATCATTTTAAAAATCGAAGAGAGAAATCAGAGAGCTGGTAGTACAAAGAGAAGAATATATTATCAGTATTCCTGCATATAGAACAAAATCCATGGGTTTCCTTACTTGTAAGGAATAGTATTGTAATACCTTCATTTATGATTTTGAAAAATCAGAAACGTGTAACATTCATTCTTGTAGTAACCTTGAGATTTTATTAAATTTCATGTTTGATTAAAAATTGGAATTTAAGAAGATAATAACAATTATGATAATGATTTTAAAAATTATTTTTTAGAATTTGTTTCTCTATAAAGATATCGAGATGTATTGATTTTAGGATTTCAATTTTTAATTCTTTTTTATATATTTTTCACATCTATTGTATAAATTATTGAGATATAGTAATATCGTACAACAGTATATGATTTCAAAATTCAATTAGAATAGGTGAATAAACAATACCTAAGTAAATATATGGCTAAGGTTACATGGAATGATATAAAAACAATTTAATAATGGTATTCAACATATTGAAAGTTGCTTAGTTTTAAAAAATAATAAAAACATCAAACTTAAGTCAATAATATAAAAGGCACGATGGATTTAACGTTTATAATAACGTATATAAGCATTTCGAAATATTAAATTAGTCATAGTTCAAAAATATGATAAGGTTATTAGTAACCGTGGGTAAAGGTATAGGAAAGAAACTTGGACCAGTTGATACACGACATTTCACAAAAGTAAAGTTTAAATAATTTTCAAGTTAATTAGTTTTGGCTCTTAATACTTTTTCGCTAAGAATCAAAGAATATATTAATTTTAATATAAAGATATGTACCTATATGGATTTGTAAAAAAAATTAAATAAAATTCTTGAAATATCTACACTTTCCAAACAAATTTATGTTACATTTCATAAACTATACGAAATTACTTTATTTCATTTAATATAATCTTCTCTTCTTTCCTCTATCGTGCAGTTTTATTAATATCATTGTTTCTAAAATGTAAGGCAACTTTTCAAATTATCAATTCGTTATGGACTAAAATATTTTTTTCGGCAGGCATGGGTTCGGATTGGTACGGATCATTTTAAAAATCGAAGAGAGAAATCAGAGAGCTGGTAGTACAAAGAGAAGAATATATTATCAGTATTCCTGCATATAGAACAAAATCCATGGGTTTCCTTACTTGTAAGGAATAGTATTGTAATACCTTCATTTATGATTTTGAAAAATCAGAAACGTGTAACATTCATTCTTGTAGTAACCTTGAGATTTTATTAAATTTCATGTTTGATTAAAAATTGGAATTTAAGAAGATAATAACAATTATGATAATGATTTTAAAAATTATTTTTTAGAATTTGTTTCTCTATAAAGATATCGAGATGTATTGATTTTAGGATTTCAATTTTTAATTCTTTTTTATATATTTTTCACATCTATTGTATAAATTATTGAGATATAGTAATATCGTACAACAGTATATGATTTCAAAATTCAATTAGAATAGGTGAATAAACAATACCTAAGTAAATATATGGCTAAGGTTACATGGAATGATATAAAAACAATTTAATAATGGTATTCAACATATTGAAAGTTGCTTAGTTTTAAAAAATAATAAAAACATCAAACTTAAGTCAATAATATAAAAGGCACGATGGATTTAACGTTTATAATAACGTATATAAGCATTTCGAAATATTAAATTAGTCATAGTTCAAAAATATGATAAGGTTATTAGTAACCGTGGGTAAAGGTATAGGAAAGAAACTTGGACCAGTTGATACACGACATTTCACAAAAGTAAAGTTTAAATAATTTTCAAGTTAATTAGTTTTGGCTCTTAATACTTTTTCGCTAAGAATCAAAGAATATATTAATTTTAATATAAAGATATGTACCTATATGGATTTGTAAAAAAAATTAAATAAAATTCTTGAAATATCTACACTTTCCAAACAAATTTATGTTACATTTCATAAACTATACGAAATTACTTTATTTCATTTAATATAATCTTCTCTTCTTTCCTCTATCGTGCAGTTTTTTAATTATAATACTTTAATAAAGGTATATCTTTTATTAATACAATTATGTAGCCAAATTTGATTTTTATAATACAACAAAAATTTATCTACTGTAGGTACGTAAAAGTTACAATTATTCTAAAGATTTGAGAGAAATTAATGTGGAGATAAAAATGTATAATCATTACTTACAAGGATAGTAATTTAATAAATTATAATTACTATTTCATTGTAAATAGAAAAAATATTTTTTGTATCAACAATTTTCTCTTGATTTCTTGTTTCGTAGTATTCAAAATAGCGTCGCATGGAAGACAGAATAAGTGAAACGAAACTCCCTTTTTGTGAAAATCGGACACATATATGATCTAGGGCTACTTAGCCTAACACAAATGGACGTTAGTAGCTCAGTAGAAATGCATTTAGATCATTACGCGTAGTTTAAATATAAATGCGTCCACTTATCCATAACAGTATAGCTTCGAAATTCTTCTACATTTTCATCACGGTGGCAGAATTCTCGGTGTGAATGTTTTGCCGATCGAGCATAGCTCGTTGATTGGTCCTTCTCATACGGTAACAACGTAGCAGCTGTTTTCTGCGTGATTGATAACGAAAAATTAATAGAATTCGTACGCCAATATTTATCCTCATACGACGATATCGATGAAATGTTTGTTCATCGTGAAATAATTGTTTATATAATTCGTATAATTCTACTCATATTTTTTTCTAGCTATAAATATACAATGGCTATGTACTCAACATTTTGTATTTTTATTATTGTGAAGTAATAATGAAAATAATATAAAAGTAACATTCATATAGTGACAATTAGTACTAAAAATATGGGAGTTTACTGAGTGTTCCACGTAACACTTTCCACAATTTTTCAAGCACTTGCAGTAAACTGACAAAAAATATTTTAAACAAAAATTGATCAGTTTTCGATCAATTAGGAATTAGCGTAAAAAGATTTCAAAAAAATTTTTTTTTTCGGTACAAAGTCCAGGTCGCCTTT